GACCAGGTTACCGTTTTTCTTTTACCTCCGTTTTTTTTTTGCGGTAACCATACTGGTGGTCGAGTAGATCATGTTGTGCGGGGTGGAGAACCCTCACTCCGCGCAAGGGGGATGATCGCACCACGTTGTGTTAAAATGGTCAAGCACCCTCGAGGCAGTTACACAGTGCTTACAACTGTCTCTGGAAGTGAAAGCACCAGAAAATAAATTAAGTCATACGCAGCTGTCATCCGTACGCAAGGAAGTAAGCACAAGATGCCGAACACCCTTAGCAGGATGCAGCGCACCCTTCATGCGACTCGCCGAATATCTCACGGCGCTTCGCGCTTGGTGATGTGAGAGCCTGGTCCGGTGAGAACCCGGCGTGCTCCGTCCCGGCTTTGTAGGGATGCGAGGTCAATGGTCTAACGACTACGGCATGCACGACTATGAGTATGAGTATGAGTACACCCCAGCTACCATCCCACTCCTACCACATCACATCTGACTTTTTGCCCTGCCCCAAACACCAACAGATTGCCCCCCGGGCCGAAACTCACATGCACACAGATGTCTCCGAGGGCCCTAGATAGCACCAAAAAGGGCGTCCCTCCGCTGACCCCGGGATCTGGATACTCCTCCGTCGCGCCGCGGGTAAGGCAATACCTGAGAAGCGCAAGACTCGCGGGGTCTCCACCCCCGCAGCGATCCTGGGATGGCGGAGGACAACGTAGCTCGGCAGCTGCTCCCGCAAATCGAGGAGGAGGAGGAAGGGGAAGTGCGGCCAAGCCGTTCTTGTTGGTTTCGCCCCAGGTGACGTCAGACTCAGGGGTGGCGGCGGTACCCGAGCGGGAGGCGTGGGGAGTCGAGGCTGCCGCCGTATTGACGAGGCGGCCCAGGCAGTCCACCAGCGCCGGAATCAGGTAACGAGCGGCCAGGGTCGGTCCTGAAACGGGGGGGAAGGTAGGTAGGAAGAGAAGGGGGTGCGGCGGAACGAGAAACGTTGAGCCTACAAAGGTGTTGGTTCTTAGCCAGAGAGGGTGACGCACACAGCGGACGGTAACAACAGAAGCGGTCATGCGGAGCGATCGTGGTTGTCAAGGCAATACAGCACGTTCCACGTCTCCACGCAGGAACGACGGTCGACATACTCCGCGCACCATCGCCATGTGCTCGCGAAGAGCTGGTTTCAACGTGTAAACGTTCCATGGTAGCCCCCTCATCTGTAAGGCCTGCCCTTGCTTTCCACTTCCCTAAACGTCGTCGACGAACGTTGTTCGTGTCGCTCACCGAGGCACTCAAAAATGTCCTGTGAAACGCAGGCAGAGGCGGCCACCTGCACCCGGCTCGCACAAAAATCCTCGCCACCCTCAACGGACATGTCTGGTTCGCACACTCCATCATCCCCTCGCCCTCCCGGCGCGTCCCGGGAGGACATTTTCGCCTGTGTCGAACCCTCGCTCGTTGTCACGTCGCCGGACGCACGGCTTGGTGGAGGAAAGCGCTCCGGCGCCAGCGTAACGCTGTCCCGTTGTGCTTCTTCTTGGACACGCGGCGCTGCTGTATCTTCGGCCCCCTCCTCCGCCACCTGCTCTGCTGCAACCGCTGCTGCTGCTGTTTTCGTCGCACGGCACCGAGGCGTACCGTCGGTCTCGGTCTGCACTCCTCGCTCCAACCACGCCAGCAGCAGCGGGAGAGCACGCCTCAAGAAGGCCTCGTTTCCTACCCTTCGGGCGACCACCCCCCATATGTCGGCGTCCATCAGATGGCACGCGTGCTGCGGGGTCCGGACCCTGGCAAGGTGGCCGTGAGGGACACGGAAGAGCATGTATACTGGGTTGTGAGCTCCAGAACACGACAGCAATGGCGGTGCGACCGCCACCCAAGACAGTGCGCGAGCATGGTTACCTACATGCATGCGCCGCGGTTCGGCCGAGGGCCACCGGCTGGATGGACTCGGTCGTGGTGGGGCACCGGCAGAAGTTCATCTTCCTGCGACATCCAAAATCTGCGTGTTTTGCGCGATATACAGGCGGTGTTCCATCTCATTTTGATTGCATACACGGCTGCCTGCGGCTGGCGACTTACCCTTCCAAGCACGCCATCACCGGAGGAAACAAGACCTCTAAGGTGAGACCGGGGCCGAGTCTTGCCGCGGAGAGATCGAACACCGATACCCACGCCCCCACGTGCTTCACCGCCTCGGCCGCTTTCGTCCTCGAGGCTTCTGCTTCCGCCTCCGCCTGTGCTCCCGCCGCCTTTTCCACGGTCTCGGCCTCTGCTGCTGCTGCTGCTGCCGCCGCCGCTGCCGCCAATTTTGGCGGGTGCGTATTGCCTCCTTCCACAGAGAGAGATTGTGTCACCACCTCCACCGGCCTCAACGACGGTGAGTACGATTTCGAAACCTCGGCAACAAGCTGCGACGTTTTTCCTGCTAAAACGGGCGACGACTCGTCCAGATGCGCAACGCCTGTCACCGCCCCCTCCGCCGTTATCGACGGCGATAGAGGTCCCATCGCCGCCACAGGCGCCGTTGGATCCTCGGACCGTTGTTCGGACCGTTCCCGCTCACCCTCTCCTGTGCTAATAGTTGCATCTCTCTTTCCTCCATGTGCGCCGCTGGCCTCCGTATCGGCGCGGGTCGGAGCTCTTGCAGGCACTACGTCGCGCACGACTGCCTTTTCCGTTTCTGTGACCGAAAGTGGAATGTCTCCGAGGAGAGATACCAAGTGGGGCACCGCGAGAGAGAAAGCGTGGATGGGCACTTGGAGCACGGGGAGAGTCGCCGCGGCTAGGACAAGGCGTTTGTGGGGGGTCTCCTGAACGCGAGATTTCGTGACAGCGGAGGGGGGTCGAAAGGGGCTCTGTTGCATGAAGACTGATGCGCGCAACAACGCCTCGAGAGAGGGTAAACAATTGACAACAGCGGAGGCTGCGTTCGACAGTAGCAGTTGCTGATAGCACGGCTACAGCTCCCGTTTCGCGAACCTCCACGATGGGAGGGCACACGCGTCGACCGAACAGGCATCTGCACTTAGCGGCAAAAGCTGGCTGACGCTGAAGTACAACATTGCACCTAGTGAACAATTAAATTGGCGCACCTCTTGGTGGACCGCGGCGAGGAAGGCGTACACGTCGCGCATGTACGGAGGGAAGAGCCCGCGGTAGGCGGGCGACGGCGGTGCCGGCGGCGGTAGCGCCGGCTCCGGCCACCCTCCTCGACCCGTTCGCGTCGAAGGCACCGAACACGACGGTGCCGCGTCTATTTGATGCAGCGCCGGCTCCGTTGTGGACAAAAGGGCGTGGGCTGAAGGTCGCTATTTGGAGTGACCACAGGCGTTGGAGCGAAGGCATGCCAAGTGGGGGAAAGCCAAGCACAAGAGTCAGAGACGACATCGAGAGCTCGACTTCTTACAAGGAACGTAGAAAGGAAAAACGGTGCCTTAGGGAGGTAGAAGGTAGAACCCTTCAAAGGTCCCCCTCCTGAAAGAAGGGATTATTACTACGTTACAAGGCGTGCTCGATCATAGTATATCCGGCACTCTCTGCGGAATGGACCGCGTCCGGAGGACGAACAACAAACTACCTACCTTTGCGGGGTCCGCGTGTGTCAAGGCGCCGATGGTATTCCGCAACGCCAACGGCAGCTCCACGGCCGCTTCCAGCCAGCCGTCGCCGCCGCCGCCCCTGCTCGTCGCTTGCTCCGACGAGGCACTAGGGCCGGCCAGAACCGGTTCCCCCGCGCACATCTCCGCCAGGACACAGCCTAACGCGAGTAGGTCCGCCGCCTCCGATGACCGAACGCCGTCGCTGCCGCTTCCGTAGCCGCCGCGACGCGCAGCGGCGGCAGTCATTGTCGGCGTGGCTATGTCTTCACCCGCGGGAGCGGTAACGCCTGCGGTCCCGCCGGAGGCGGCGGCGGCGGAATCGGCAACGCTTGGGCCGCTGCCGGAGCGCGTGCGAGGCCTGCCGTACCACGGCTCTAAGCGGAGCCCCACGTCGCGCGCAAAGGCGAAAGCTCTGCGGGGGAGAAAGCGGGGAGGGGGGGGCGGTATTCAATTCGTTCGTGTACAATTAGTGCCCGCGTTTGAAAAACATCGAATTGGGGTCGAGGTTCAATTTCTTATTTCTTCACCACCGTCGAGCATAGGTCAATACAAAACATAGAGTTTAGTGTAGGATCCACGGCTGACGTGTGTTTCTTAGCCGATTTTTCTTAACTTTCGCCACAAAATGAGCCTTTGTTTCTTAGAGGTTGGTTTCTTAATATCGGGCACTAAATGCATGCCATGATTCAGTCGTCAAGGCGTGGTGTGCACATCAACAGGTGCCGCTAGTAAGGTACGGTACGCGCTCTCTTCGCGCTGTCTGGGATCAAAAGCTAGCTTCCGTCAACAACTATCCTCACCTTCTGTCCTCCTCGACCTTCGCGCGCGCTTCGCCGGCGGCGCCGGCGCTCTCGGCCCCTTCCGCTGCTGCCGCCGCCGCCGCCGCCACCGTCGCCGTCGCCCCAGCTGCGTTAGGAGGAGAGCGAACCCCTTCCTCGCCGATGTAGTCGTCGAACGCCACCCCGAAAATGCTCGCACCTCCGCCACTGCCTTCCGATTCGAGCCCCGCGCGCTCCGCCAAAACCGCATCTGTCGGGCTGCCGGTGCCTATACCTTCACGAATGCTTTTCCCGGCACTGTCGGAGGCGCCGTCAGGACCAGCGGCCGCACTGCGGAGACCCTCTATCAAACCTTCGGCTTCGGTCGGTGCACCCCGTTCTTTCGCCGCCACCGCTGCCGCCGCCGCTGCCGCCATGTTCGATAATGGCGAGAAATCCGCTGTTGGTTCAGCACCAGCGATGTCCTCTGGAGATGGTCGTGACGACGGATCCTTCCGCCGGGTGGCGGAAGCGGCGCCAGCAGCAGCGGCGCCAGTCACCGCCGCCGTGTAGGCGTTTCGGTTCCTCGGAGGGTGGGGGTGCCGGAAGAGCTGCACGAACCCGGGGTGGCTGATGCCGCTTAAGGTGAACCCTCCAGCACCGGAGCTGCTTCGAGGAGGCCGGGGCGACGGGAGCGAGAAAAGAGGGACGACGACGGGGTCAGCTGCGGAAGTACACGGAACAAGAATTGGCTTCGACTTCAACCCAAGGTGGTGCGTGCGTCGCTGATGGACTTGACGTTCCGGAGTGCGTACGGTGCTCCGCCGGAAGGCCATAACGTTTTTGATCTCTCGCGGGAAACGCATGCCTGTGGCTGCGGCATGGTACGTACATGTCCTTCGCTCTCACCCTTGTAGCGGGTTGCGAGTCTTACCCGGAGGCAACGTCGGCCCTCGCCCCGCCGCCGGGAGGCAGCGGGACGTTCTTGTTGTCGACGGCAGCTTGGCCCGTGAGGCAGTAGCCGAACGTCACGTCCAGCCACCGGTGGAGGCTGCGGGACACCGTTTCGCCTTCCAGGAGGGACCGGTGATACCGGATGAACTCTTCCGCAGACCCATTGCACCACGGAGGAACCTGCATCCGCACATGGGTCACGGGACACACGCAGAAAGAGAGAGAGAGAGAGAGAGAGAGAGAGAGAGAGAGAGAGAGAGAGAGAGAGAGAGAGAGAGAG